CAGGCGACCTGCCAGAGGCGCGCTACTATGGTCCCGCCCTCCATGAGTGCTCAGCCAATGGAAAGTGGGCTCTGAACCTTCGTGCTGATAGGCAGAAAGAACAGCCAATAGACTCGCGGAAAGCGCGCGGCGCCGTTCTCGTTACTATTGGTCGGCAGGCTGCGAGTGCCCGCCCCTTCCCCGTGACAGTCCCCAATCGTCATTCCCGAGGGGCGGAAGGAGGAGCGAAACCACAGCTTTTACCAATGAGCGACCGTCTTACAGCGTCACCCACTCTCTTGTCCAATGAGCGCTCAGTTTGCAAAGCGGCATCGAGCGGGAGCTCGGCGACCGAGCCAATCCCCGCCCCGAGGGGGGCGCGCTCAGCGGGCGGGCCAATCGGACCGCCCGTTACAGCGCGCGAGGGGAGCGCCAGCCAATGGCGGCCCGCGTTGCAGCGCGGCGCGGGCCGGGGAGGGGAGGAGGAGGGCGATGGCGGCCATTTTGAGCCGTCCCCTCAGCGGCCCTCGATGGGCGCCGGGCGGCGGCGATGGATGTGAGGCGGCTGCGGGTGAACGAGCTGAAGGAGGAGCTGGGGCGGCGCGGCTTGGATACCCGAGGGCTGAAGGCCGAATTGGCCGAGCGGCTGCAGGCGGCGCTGGAGGCGGAGGAGGCCCGGCGGGGGCCCGGCGGGGAAGCGGCCTCGGACGGACACTGTAAGGCCCGCAGCGGGGGGACGGCGGCGGTTCCCCTCCCCTCAGGGCCCCGCTCCCCGTGGCCCCGCTCCCGCTCTCCCGGTAGAGCCCTGAGCCCCGCCTCCCCGCTCCGCCCGGCCGCGTCCCCCCGTTTCCCCCTCCCTTCCTCCCCTTATTGCCTTTTTCCTTCGTCTTTACCTCGTTCCTTCCGTTTCGGTGGGCCCCGTCGGTCCTGGGGGGCTTTGCTCCCCCCTCGTCCCGTTAGGACTCCGTCCCATCACCCCCCGCTGCGTGTCGGGGTCTCCTTATGGGGCTCTGGGTTCCCCCAGTAGGGCTCTGTGTGTCCCCTCCATCCCTGTAGGGTTCCGTGTGGCCTCCAGTAGGGTCCTGTGTGACCATCCCCTACACCTCTGTAGGGCTCTGGGTTCCTCTCCATCCCTATAGGGCTCCGTGTGTCCCCCCATCCCCACAGAGCTCTGTGCATGCCCCCCTATAGCACTCTGTCCCACCCCTCCGCCCCACTGACAGCTGTAACTGGGGGACTCACACAGACCCCACAAATCCCCCCCAGCCCCACCGCTATGGGGCTCCACCGCCCCTCACGCCCCCAACAGCTGAGGATGAGCGCTGGGATTTGCCTTTATTCCCCCCCCTCTGCCCAATGCTCGGTTTTCTGGGCCTCTTGCGGTGTTTTTAATTAACCAACCCGCCCCATTCTGCCCTCAGGTGCCCGCCGGGGTTGCGGATTCACCGGCTGCCGCCCCGGGGCCGCCGAATTTCCTCATCCCACATCGCTTCTGCTTTGTCCGCGTTCGGAAAGTCGCGGGGTCTCCGTTGCCCTCCTCGTGCCCCCCTCTGTCTGTTGGCTAAACCGACCCGGTAACGTTCTGCTCTCGTTTCCCCCTTTTTCCCCCCAAAGATGGCCTCGACAACAACAGCCACCCGGGTGAGCCTCAGGGCTACCAGCCCTACGAGCACAGCAAGCAGGACAACGAATCCGGCTACGAGAGGCGGCCCTTGGACCCCGAGCTCCCCTCGCTGCACCCAGGTAGGGCCGCTCGTCGCCTGGCCTGGCAGCCCTCCCCGCTCAGGGGAAGCTCTGCGCCGTGAGAGCGGTGAGGGGCTGAACAGCTGCCCAGTGCTGCGATGCCCCGTCCGTCCCTGGAGGCGTTGGAGGCCAGGCTGGATGGGGCCCTGGGCAGCCTGGGCTGCTGTGACGTGGCGGGGGGTTGGAGCTTCGTGAGCCTTGAGGTCCCTTCGGGCGCTGGGACGCTGTGCCGCTCGGCCGACGGCTCTGCTCCCTTTGTCACCCGCAGAGATGAAGCCGGATCCCAAACCCGAAGACCCCGCTCCCTCCTACGCCGTGCCGCCCCCCAACTACAACACCCCCCCTCCCGCTTACAACGCCCCCGTCCCGCCCTACAACGCTCTGCCCCCCACCTACAACGCCGGGCCCGAGCCCTCGCAGCCCCGACCTCAGCAGCCCCGGAAGCGGCCCTACGAGGAGCAGCGGGGCCGCGGTTACTACGAGCACCGCGAGGACAGGAGGTGAGCGCCGCCCTTGGGACGCGTCCCCCCCTCTGCTCCCACCCTGAGCCCCCTTCCCCCCTCCCCACGCCGCAGGGGCCGATCGCCGCAGCCGCCCGCCGAGGACGAGGAGGAGGACTTCGATGAGACTTTGGTGGCCATCGACACCTGTGAGTGCCTCTGCGGGACGCGGGGCTGCGGTGTGGGGCTGTGAGCGGCGCCTGCGGCCCCACCGCCATCTTGTCTCCCCCAGACAACTGCGACCTGCACTTCAAGGTGGCCCGGGACCGTTACAGCGGGTATCCGCTCACCATCGAGGGCTTCGCCTACCTGTGGTCCGGCGCCCGCGCCACCTACGGCGCCCGGCAGGGCCGCGTGTGCTACGAGATGAAGGTGAGCGGCGCGGCGCTCGGGGCGCCTCGATCGGCGGCCAAAGCGTCCCCTTCCCGCCCGCCTTCGCCCCGCAGGTCAACGAGGAGATCTCCGTCAAGCACCTCCCGGCCTCCGAGCCCGACCCCCACGTGGTGCGGGTGGGCTGGTCGCTGGACTCCTGCAGCACCCAGCTGGGTAAGAGCCGTGCGGGGCGGGACGCCTTCCTGGGGCCGCGTTTCGCCTCACCCGGCCGCCCCGCTCAGGCGAGGAGCCCTTTTCTTACGGCTACGGCGGCACCGGCAAGAAGTCGACCAACTGCAAGTTCGAGAACTACGGGGAGGCCTTCGCCGAGAACGACGTCATCGCCTGCCTCGTCGTGAGTGGCCTCCTCCCCTGGCGGCGGGCGTTCTGTGCGGCTCCGGCCTTCACCGCCGTGTCGCCCGCTGCAGGACTTCGAGTGCGGGGAGGAGGTGGAGATGTCCTTCATGAAGAACGGCAAGTGGCTGGGGGTGGCCTACCGGGTGCGCAAGGACGCGCTGGCCGGCCGGGCGCTCTTCCCCCACGTCCTGGTGAAGAACTGCGCCATCGAGTTCAACTTCGGCCAAAGGGAGGACACCTACTTCGCCGTGCCGCCCGGCTTCACCTTCATCCAGCACCTCCCGGTGGCCGAGCGCGTCCGCGGCACCACGGGGCCCAAGAGCAAAGCCGAGTGCGAGGTGCGGCGCGGCCGGGCCGGCGGGGGGACGTGGCGGCGGCGGGGGTCCCGGCCGTGACGGCGTCGCCTTCACCCGGCAGATCCTGATGATGGTGGGGCTGCCCGCCGCCGGCAAGACGACGTGGGCCGTCAAACACGCGGCCGCCAACCCCTCCAAGAAGTACAACATCCTGGGGACGAACGCCATCATGGACAAGATGAGGGTAAGGTGCCGTCTTGGGCCACGTTGACCCCATTTTGGGTCTATTGAGTGCGATTTCGGGCCACGTTGACCCCATTTTGGTCCATTTGGGGTCTACTGAGTGCCATCTTGGGCCACATTGACCCCATTTTGATCCATTTTGGGTCTATTTAGTGCCATTTTGGGCCACATTGACCCCATTTTGGTCCATTTGGGGTCTATTGAGTGCCATTTCAGGCCACGTTGACCCCACTTTGGTCCATTTGGGGTCTATTGAGTGCCATCTTGGGCCACATTGACCCCATTTTGATCCATTTGGGGTCTATTGAGTGCCATCTTGGGCCACATTGACCCCATTTTGATCCATTTGGGGTCTATTGAGTGCCATCTTGGGCCACATTGACCCCAT